AAAGATCATTTAGTTAGTTGGGAGGTGAGGTGGTTTCTTGGTTTTCGTGGAAGTTCATTTCTTACAGTATTATTCATTACTTTTCTCTGTACATTTGGTTTTAGGTAAGGAATGGGAACAGGATTCGGCTAAGAAGCATGGATACGTGACACAACACGGACACTCCAATAGGGGACACACACATAATATATAATTTTGTATATTTTATTATATATCATATATGTGAATATATCATTGCAAGACAATAAATAAATGTAATATAACACTAATTTCTATAAATTTACGTTGTTTTTGTTATATCATCATATTCTAAGTTATTTTGTTTAAACTTATGATTAGTTTCATGTATGTCTAATCAATGGACACGTGTTTAAGCAATCAACACATGTGTCCTCCAAGTTTCCGAGCCTATTATATATACATATATATATATATTTATAAAATAAGACACGTTTTGATAAGGGTCAGACACATGTCAAGAAGTGTCCGACAAGTGTTCGTGACACAACATGAACATGCAACATTTTTTAGAAGTGTTCGTGCTTCTTAGGGATTTGGTTTTGGGAGGATGTGTGGTTTGGGGGATTCATTTTATCATTTGTTCTCTCATTTTATCTTGGATTGAAGCATAAAAAGTTGCAGTGTATTGCCTTTTTGGTAACTAATGGCAGAAGACTATTTGATTTGTTATATGGAACCAATTTCATGTACAAGAACTGCTAAATAACAACATGAAGCAGAAGAGTGCCTCAACAATCTAGCAGAAATAAATTTGCTCGATCTACCTATAGATTTGGCTATGGACGATGATGAAAGTGGAAGCTCACAAAACACATGAATGGTGCCAACCACAAGATTTTCCATTATTTGAAGACAGTGTCTTCATGCACAATCTGGAGAACATGATGGAATCAAAGTGGGCCCATGAAGATTCGTTGTAGATATACTAGATCGACTGCACAGAGGAATAATTACTTTGTTCCCATATCAAGGTTCTAGAAGAATAATCTTCAAACTTTGATCACCAATACATATATGCTTAATTTGTGATATGCTCTTCTGTGTGTGTGTGTGTGTGTCAAATCTCATTCCTCCAATTACAAACAATGCCCAATAGTATTATGACATAAATTAATCAGTTACAAGGTTCAACACGTTTCCATTAAGAAGCATGTGGATACGTGTTGCTGTTTTATGTAAATTCACAACCTATATGCTCTATAGGTAATACGGTTCCTGCAAGTAAGCCTCAACTTAATTAGGTCATATCATGTATAACATTTTTATGGTTGAAAACATTTATGAACCTGCAAAGAGGTCTATAATGTTCTTTTTGTTAATCTGTTTGCACATTTTATGGAGCTCTTTAAAATTTGTGGTTTATTTTTATGGATTTTGGTTTAGGATTATTAATCCAATGGATAATTAATCCAACAAATTTGTAGGATTATTAGTAATGGGGTAGGGGTGAGATTATTAATCCAATGGATATTAATCCAATTGGATAGTGAATACCACACTAATTTAATAGGATTATTAATACTTCACTATTAATCTTGTGAATCAAACATGACCTTAGGGTATTAGTCATTTAGGGACATGGTTTTAGGCACCTGAAGAAAAACAAGAAGGTTTTAAGTACTATTGATAGTCTAATATGGCGAAAAGTACACAAGAAAATATTAGATGTATGGCTACACAAATAGGAAGGTTAGAATCTGAATTTGAACATAGTATGCATATAGACGTAATGATAATAATTTACTTGCTATAACTTCTACTATTAATGGTATGTGATTTATTTTCTTCTTGGTTTGAAACCACAGAAAAATCACAAACAAAATCATATATATATATATATAGATAAGAAATTAGATCCTTTGCATCGAACTCTAGTAAATGTAGAACAAGATGTTAGAAATCTTGGTAATATAATTTGTATAGATTTAAATGAAAAAACAAAAAAACAAATGGAAAATCTAATGACAAAATTAGATTTATTTGATGAACTTAACGAAGGTTCGGATCTTCCTGAGGATACTCAATCCTTCGTTTATTTTATGGAAATGACGAAATAAATGTCGTTGAAAGTTCAGTTTCTTCTTACAAAAAAGAAGAATATGAAAATCTTGTTGAAGTCATCTAGTATCGGGAAGAGCTTTATGCAAATCAACATCAACTGTTGAAGAATGCAGCAGGTTGATTACTTAACTTCAAACTTTATATATGGAAAATGAAAGTTTGTTTACTCATTTTGGGTATCAAGCTTTTACTCTTGATGATGACTCCTCGTCTCACTTTATTAACGCAACCAACGTGGTGATCAAGGAACACCTCAGAATCTGAGGCCTCCTTAGACTCTGAAACCTCTGATGAGGAAACCAAACCTGCAACCACAGGTGAAGGTGAAAGAAAAATAGATGAACCATTAGATCCAGATGAATTTGAAGCAAAACCAGAATTTAATCAGTTCATAAAAACTACTGAATGAACAGTACTGACCCACATCCACTAGTGAAACTAACCTATGGATCCAAAACCATCTTACCGAAGAAAAAATGATTTAAACAAAATGCAGTAACCCAACACAGTACTTACTTGGATTTAACACATGTTGCTTTCAAAGATCAATTAAAAGCAATTGATGATTGGGCGTAATCCATGTCTATTTTAACAAATTATAAGTCAACATGGATCAAAGACAGATTCTTAGATTATATTGCAGCAACCCTACAAGGAACTTGTTTGCAATGACTAAGATAATGGGAAAAATATGATTCTAGAAAATACCATAAGACAACCCTTTTATCAAACTTTTTAAGTTTTGATAAAATGTTGAGTGATTTTGTCACTATAATTAGGAGAAATTAATTTGCAAGAAGATGCAAATTATGCTCTAACCAAACTAGAACTATGTAATATTTGTCAACATGAAGAATATGTGACACTATTCTAAAAATATAACTATGTTCTAGATCCTCACCACAATACCTATTGGTTAGATCAATTTTTTCATAAACTCCCAAATCCATGGGATGAATTAAGTGTTAAAAAATATCCTAATTTTTTAGGAAAAATTGAAAAAGCGATAATCTTGGATTTAGGATAAACTTTGTCTCAAGACTGATAAACTTTTTATAGGCTTCAATACCGTTTTATAGAATATAGAAACATAAAAAAACAAAAATAAAAAGTCTAGCCTATAAAAAGCCTAACTTAGGCCATCATGTACAAAGTCAATACCTAGTCTAAAATGAAAACCTATTGTTACAAAATTTAAAAGACTAGTCTATCTTTTGTACATATTATACAAACTTAGCCCTGCTTCCTCCTTTTTGAAAAAGAGAAACTGTATTGGATAAGATTTGGTTAATCTTATTTTTTTCTTCTTGTTGCAGATCCTACCATGTGTGTTGGATAAGATTGCAGTCAGTCCGGTATATTTGCAACAAATCTTCATGGGCCCACTATGCTTCCATCATGTTTTCTAGATGAAAAATACTAGGGAACCCAAGAGATTGACCAAGAAATTTACCAAAGGTCTCTTGGGGTCCCTAGCATTATTGTTTCCAGATTGTGCATGAAGATACTATCTTTAGATAATGGACAATCTTGTGGTAGGGTATATTTCATATATATATATATTGTGTGAGATTGTGAGATATTCTATTTCCTTTTTGGTCTTAGGGTTAGAATTGTTATATAAACAAATGTATTCTTTGATTATTGACATATTGAATATAGAAAACCATTTAGAAATCTTACACTTGGTACCCTTGCGAATCATAGTCTAGATTTAACAACATTAGACGAAATGATTTCAACATGTTGCTTTTGGTGTTTTGTATATTTTATTATATGTCATATATGTGAATATATCATTGCAAGACGATAAATAAATGCAATATAACACTAATTTCTATAAATTTACGTTGTTTTTGTTATATCATCATATTCTAAGTTATTTTGTTTAAACTTATGATTAGTTTCATGTATGTCTAATCAATGGACACGTGTTTAAGCAATCAACACATGTATCCTCCAAGTTTCCGAGCCTAATATATATATATATATATATATTTTTTTTTTTTATAAAATAAGACACGTTTTGATAAGTGTCAGACACGTGTCAAGAAGTGTCCGACAAGTGTTCGTGACACAACATGAACATGCAACATTTTTTAGAAGTGTTCGTGCTTCTTAGGGATTTGGTTTTGGGAGGATGTGTGGTTGGGGGGATTCATTTTATCATTTGTTCTCTCATTTTATCTTGGATTGAAGCATAAAAAGTTGTAGTATATTGCCTTTCATGGTAACTAATGGCAGAAGACTATTTGATTTGTTATAAAAAGTTGTAGTGTATTGCCTATGCTTAATGTGCCATTATGATCCATGTTCCATGTAAAATTTGTCTATTATATTAAAGAATCCTTGCACTTATTTTCTAGTGTGTATTCGAGTTCTTTTTATTGTTTTTATTTAAAAAAAGCTACTTGATATGAACCTTGTTACATAGTTTATTTGTTTGAATTTAACGTAGGCTCAAACTACCTTGTGGGTTTGAATCATATAGAAAACTAGAAGATTTATTTGCACTATATGTGGGATTGAATCATATAGACAACTTGATGCATTCGAAATGCAAATCATTATCAATTTGAGAGAGAGAGAGAAGACAAATCCCCTATGAGGGGGTAAACCCTTAAGGGAGGTTAGAGAGAGAAACAAAAACTTTGCTCCAACCAATATGTGTATTCTTTTTTATAAAAACTAAGTACAATGGAATTACATCACCTATTTATAAGCTACTACTAAGTACAAGCCTACAACTAATAGGCCACTTAATATACACTTAAGGTATTTATTCTACTACATCACAACTAGAAGATTTATTTGCATTATACACAGTTTGTTATTGACATGGAAGTTACATACTAGTCAAACAATAACACGATCTTGCTCTTGAACAACTATTACTTCTGTTTCTTTCACTTACGCAGTTGAGGAAAGGGTACAACGTGAGCGTTTACGGGATTTATCTGTCTTTGAGAGACTAAATGGAAGTTCTGTGAAAACATCTCCTAGTCTTGCTGTGAAAAAGGTGATACTCTACTAAACATGTTTGCATATTGCATTGTATTACTGCTACCTTCATTTAAGTATGCTATATGCAACTAGGAGACTTCTCCATTTTTGTGGTGTTAAATTCATTGACAACATGCGGGGTCATTGTTTTAAGCTCCTGCACTTGTGTGGCAGTCCATCTATATTGAGCGATTTATGTTGGATTCCTAGAATCTATGTTGGATGCCTTGAATCTGTGTTGGACAGCTAAGCCTATTTCAAGCACTACAGCCTGTGTTAGAACTTTTTGTAGACCTTGAATTTTAAGCTTCAGTTTCCTGGTACTTCAGATGTTGTGATTAAGTTAAACTTGTTTCCAAGATGGCAACCCTTTGGTCGTTAAGTGGACCGCAACCAAATTGTTAAGTATTAGTGTGTAAGGGTAGTTATGTCATTTGTTCCTTTAGTCTTTTATTATAAATGTGTAACCCTAATATGTTTAAGAGCAAGATAATAAGCACAGCAGTCTCTTTGTTCTTCTTTTCTAATTATTGTTGTTTTTCTTTTCATATGTAAATTTAACATCTAACATGGTATCAGAGCTACATCTTTCTCCTTGAAGATTGTGGTCTTTCCTTGTCCCTCTTTTTCTTCATTTTTCTGCCAAAAAACAAAAAAAATCCCTCCAGGTTCGAAATTTCATGGGTTTCTTCCCCATGATTTTCTTTTATTTTTTTGGGTAATTATTTAGTGGTTTTTCCAATTTTTGTTCATTTTTTGGAAAAAAATGGCTATTTCTCAGAAGCCATTGCTAGAGCCCTTTTAGGGCTGTTTCTTCCCTTCCTTCCCTTTCCTTGGGAGCCGACTGGACCATTAGAGGAGGCTAGAGTCACTGTTTTGAAGGATTGGTGGGGTTTCTCTTTGTTTTTGTTCGTTTTTTGCTTTTCTGGCTCGTTTTTGGTTCTGTTTCAGTCTGTAAAGATATCTTCCTGGTCCTTTGTTGAGTTTTTGGCACTGTTGTTGGCTTCCTGGACTGTTATTTATTGTGGGGATTAATTTTCAATGGCTGGAATTGAGGATAAAGACCCTAGGGTTAGTGAAGAGGGTGGTGTGCATCGTGTTATGACTCTTAATGATAGTCCCCATTTTCAAATCAGTCCTGTGAAATTTGATGGCTCCAATTATCTGATTTGGTCCGTTCTTGTAGCCTTGCTATTGCTACTCGTTGTTTGACTGGCTACATTACCGGTGACCTTTCCCAGCCTGCTAATGATGCTGCTTTGCGTACTCAATGGGTATCTGAGAACGCTTTGGTTATGACCTGGCTCATTAACTCTATGTAGTCCATCATCAGTCGGTCTTTTCTTCTCTTAGATGCTGCTCATAAGATTTGGACAGCTGCAACCTAGATGTACTCCCAACCTTAGTTGCACGAAGCGGGAGCGGGGGAGCGTGGCCACTTAGAGGAGTCGTAAATTAGGAGCGCTTATGTATTATTTTTATTAATTATATTTTTAATTTATCTGTATATATATTTTTTATTTTTAATTGACATACATGTATATATTTTTTTTAATAAATAAATTGGCGCGCGCACACACACACACACACACACATATATATATATATATATGTTATAAATGAAAAAAGTAGAGTTGCTACCAAAATATAAATATTTTATAAATTCCCATTAGATAGACAAAATTTATCACTAAGTTTGGGCACCATAATTCATTCACTTTATAACAAAACATTATTGAAGATGCATTTATTTATAATAATGACATTGTCACATCATTATTGTAAATTTTTTGTATGAATGAATAAAATTGAAAAAAAATATAAAATAGAAAAATAGAAGAAATAAAAGAGAGAAAAAAAGAGGGTCTCAAGTATAAATAAATAAAAAGGTAGGGGTTTTGTTATTAAAAAAAAAGTATATTCAATCTTTCATGAGAATAAAAAGAAAGAAATAAATAAAAAGGAAGAGAGAGAGGCTTTCATGAGAAGAAAAAGAAAAAAATAAATAAAAAGGGAGAGAGAGATGAGACAATCAATAAGAGAGGGAAAATCAGAGAGGGACAATCTGCGAGAGAGAGACGAATTGAGACAGAGAGACGAAAAGCACACAGAGAGAGAGAGACGTCCTTTGAAGTGATGAAAGGAAAAAAACGAAGCAAAGAAGGAGAAGGACATACCTTGATCTAGGGCTTCAACTTCACCCTCTTGGGCTTCAACATGTTCAGGCTCTTCTTCACCTTCTTGCATCTGGAGTTGTTTGATTTTCACAGACGTTTTCATCTTATACTGAAACGCGATTTTCTCTCTTAAGAATCGCGTTTCTTACACGATTCTAATTCGGGAATGCAAAATCGCGTTTCTTGCAGAAAATCGTCACCTACTGTAACGATTCCTGCTACTAAGCTCCAAATAGGTAATGATGCACAGGCGTATGGGTTGAGGAAGAAGCTTCGGAGCTAAGATTAGAAGGATAGATCACTCGCAGTATACTATGCTGAGTTGAGTAGTTTGTGGCAGGCACTAGACTATTACCAAAGCTTCTAGGCTATTTGTTCTCGAGATGCCACTTTGTTTCAGCAAAACATGGAGAAGAAGCGTGTGTATGACTTTCTTGCTGGCTTGAACTTGGAGTATGATCAAACTCGCGTCCAGGTGTTGGGTCGTTCCCCTTTTCCCACCCTCCGCGAGGCTTATGCCCTTGTCCAGCAAGAGGAGAGTTGACGCAGTGCTATGGTTCATTCCTCTATTCAGGATCGTTCTGCTTTGTTTGTTGCTCCTCTTACTCGAGCTCCTTGGCCTAGTCCAGTTCAGTCTGGTACCCAGGGTACACTGGTTGATCGAGATCAATTGAAGTGTGATTATTGTGGGAAAGACAGATATGATCGAGAACATTGTTGGAAACTGAATGGTCACCCTACTCGGGGTCGAGGTCGGGGTAGTACAGCTCGTCCCCAAGCCTATGTGTCTGAGATTGCTATGAGTCCTTCTGAGCCTAGCACTCTTTCTCAGGATGAGTTATACACTCTCAGGCGTTTGATGGCTCGACTTGATTCTCTTTCTACCATAGCGTCTTCCACTCCAATTTCTTCTAATTTTGCCCACACAGGTATTCCTGCTAGTGCTCTTAGTACATCCTCATCGTCTTCTTGGATTATTGGTTCAGGTGCCACCGACCACATGATAGGTGCCTTTAGTCTTTTTTATTCTTATTCTCCTTATTCCGGCCAAGACAAGGTTTGAGTGGTTGATGGCACTTTATCCTCTGTCTCTGGCAAGGGTTCGGTTCATTGTTCATCTTTACTTTCTTTTTCATTTGTGCTTCATGTTCCTATTTTTTCCGCTAACCTGCTTTCTATTAGTAGTCTTACTACTTCTCTAAATTGCTCAGTGACCTTTTTTCCTACTTATTGTGTCTTTTAGAAACTGGCTACGGGAAAAACGATTGGCAATAGTAGAACAAGGTGGACTGTACTTTCTGGATGCCATTCTTCCTGTTGTCCCATCTCAGGCTCTAAGTGCACTGCTGGCTCTTCTCTTCATCTCGTTCATCAGTGGCATCGCCGTTTGGGTCATCCTTTAGTGTTTTAGGGGAACTTTTTCCTTCTATAGTTCATGATTGTGCTAGGAGTATTTTTGGTTGTGATGCTTGTGAACTTGCAAAGCATAAACGTATTTGTTACCCTTCAATTAATCAAAGAAGTACTTTTCCTTTTATGCTTATTCATATCGATGTGTGGGGCCCTTCTCCTATGGTTTCTACTTCTTGGTATCGATGGTTTGTTACATTTATTGATTGTTATTCCCGTGTGACTTGGATTTACTTGCTTCGAACTAAGAGTGAAGTTTTTTCTTGTTTCCAAAACTTTTCATAAAATGGTGACCAATCTTTTTAATGCTCAAATCAAAATTCTTCGAAGTGATAATGAGACTGAGTATCTTGATGGAGTTTTTCGAGCATACCTAGAGGAGCATGGCATCCTTTATTAGACTAGTTATGTTGGTACTCCTTAGTAGAATGGAGTTGCTGAACGCAAGAATGACCATCTTCTTGAAGTTGCTTGCTCTCTCTTGTTTACCATGAATGTCTCTAAGTCTTTTTGGGGTGATGCTGTTCTTACCATTGCTTATCTTATTAACCGTATGCCTTCCAGTGTCCTCCAATTCCAGATTCCTGTTTAACTACTTCCTGTAGCATATCCCACCTCTTCTCTTCCTCCTTGAGTGTTTAGGTGTGTCTATTTTGTTCATTTGCAATCTCGTACTCGTGGGAAACTCAATCCTAAGGCTGTGCGTTGTGTCTTTATTGGTTATTCTACTACTCAGAAGGGTTACAAATGCTATGATCATCACACTCGCAAAGTGTATGTTAGTATGGATGTCACTTTCCGTGAATCAGAGGCTTTCTTTCCTTCTTCTCTGCCATCTCGTCCGGGGGAGAGTAGTGTTATGGATGAGATTGCGGATGAGGAGATGGCCTATTAACACAAGTTCTCTTTTTTCCTTCCTAGTAAGCGGAATGTTATTTGTGGAGAGGGGGAGCCTAATAGTTCTCTTGTTGTGGAGCCTGACATTGGTGGTCGTTTGGACAGGGTTGATCTTAAGACTTATTATCGGCGTCCAAAAGAGCAAGCTTCCCTTGTGCCACCATCATCCCCCATGCCAGTTCCAGGTAATGCACCTTAGTTTATTCCTCTATCTATAGTTGATAGTCCTATTGTCGATGATTTGAGTCTTCCTATTGCTTTTAGGAAGGGGGTTAGGGCTTGTCCTCAACACCCCATTTCTAAATTTGTGTCATATGATTCATTGTCTTCTATATATCGTACTTTTGTTTTGTCTTTGTCTTTTGCGTGTATTCACTAGGGTTGGAAGGAAGCTATCGATGAGCCTAAGTGGAAAGTAGCTATGGTAGAAGAGATGCAAGCTCTAAGCAAGAATAACACTTGGGAGTTGGTTCCTCTTCCTAGTGGAAAAAAGTTTGTAGGGTGTAACTGGATGTTCACCATTAAGTAAAAA